ACAGCAGGACACAGCTAAGAGGTTTATTCAGCCTCCTACCACCGAGCTGCCTGGAGAGCTCTCCCACGCCTTGGGTGACCTTATCCTTATCTCCCTGTGTCCTTCAGCCTGTCACAGTGGCCAGTTGGAGCAGCAGGTCCTTTGAGGCTGGTTTCCCATGACACAGCCCCTTGTCTCATAGCACTGAGCCCCCCCCCCCCATCAGCCCATCCCAGCTCTGTGCCTGCAGCATGGGAATCACCCGCTTGTGCTGCGGGAGGGATCACCAAAAATCGTTCCCAAAATAAAGAAGCTGCATGAACCACCCACATTTCCCTCCAGCTGCCTGGGAGAGCTTTGCTAGGGCTCAGAGCTGACCTTGCAAGCTCATGGTCCTGAGATGCATCAGGAGCTCCTAGATTTCCACCTTAGCCCTGACTCCACTATCCCTGTCCTGGAGCAGGCACACTCTCCTCACGCTCCCTGCTCTGGCTGCTGTCCCATCAGAACCAACAAAGAACCTAATCCAAATTGCCCAGCATTCAACTGCTTAATTCTACCAGCCCCTTTCAGAGGTGGTTGTGCACTTCATCAGAACTGACTTCTTAGAAAGAAAAAAAAATAAGATCTGTAAACACCTGCTCCTCTCCCCTCCCCATCCAGGCACAGCCCTGGGCCAACAGCATCAGTGTTGCTCCCAAAGCAGGAGTTGAAGGCCAGATTGGGATGGTTCCTCTGTCTCCTTCAGCAATAAAAATCTCTTGGTCTTGAATGATGTGGATATTGGGAAGTCCAATGCTTCTCCAGGAGAAATAAGGGAGCAGTGGCCTCCTGTAATGGTTTTAACAAGGCCAGCAGAGCAGAGCTGTGGCTGAGGTGTCCTGTGCGAAGTGAATTGCTGATAAACACAATCCTGCCCCTTCTCCCGTGTGTGAGAGGGGTTCCAAAATGCACAGCCTGGGTCTCCATCCCTCCTGAGCAACCCCAGGGTGGGACCTGCAGGATGCCCAGTCCTCCCAGAGGGTGCTCACCTGCTGTTCTATCCTGGACATGGCATCTACCTCAGAGCCACTATTAACATAGACCATAATGTGTTCTGACACCACCTGATGTGCTGTAATTGCTCTAAACCCATGAAATGTGTTGTCACTGCAGAGGGGCTGCTACCCCTTTGTGTTACAGGTCTGGTGGCTCCAAGCTGTTACCTCATAGCAGGCTGAGGGAGAGCAAAGAGCTCCTGCTCCCCACTGCTCCTGGCACCCTAGAAATCCACATATCCCCCCCCTCCATCTCCTCAGACACGGCGGGACAGGCTGATGCAGAAATGCCCCCTGTATTTCCAAACTGATTTTCCATTTGCACAAACACCAGTAGGGGTTACTTGTTTAAAACCTCCTTCACGTGAATAATCAGATCATACTTAAAAAAAAAAAAACACCCAGATCTCCAGTTACAATTATTTCATTAGTCTGTGATAGTCCAAACTATCCAAGAGCTTGGAAAGCTGTTGCCTGCACAGATCCAAGCACGCTGCCCATGGAAGAGGTCCTTACTGCTAATTGCCTGTGCCAACCCCAGACATTAAGAAATTACTGCTAATGCAGCTTACAACAGCTTTTATAAGACACTATTAAGGAATTCAGCAGAAAACAGAACCAAATAAAGCAGAAAGTGATTAAAGAGAAACAAAACTTACCCCAAACTGCAGGATCAGCAGGAACAAGAGCCGGAGCCATCATCTGAGTGCAGCACCTCCAAAGCTGCACTTGAAGCTCCCTTTATTCCAGCACTAGTGCTGCTGGAGCCTGGGGCCTTCCCATAACACCCCAGGGTGGGAACGGGGCTCAGCTGTGACCCATTTTCCCCCAGCAACTCCCTATGGAATTGCAGCTGGTCCCTTGCACCTGCAGCCCAGCTCAGGGAGCCAGGTGGGGGCTGCGGTGGTGCACATCCAGCCGGGATGCTGGGCCTGAGTGTGGCCCCAGGGACACGTGTGCTTCCCCTGGGCTCCTTCCTGGGAAAAGGGACAAAGCTGCGGTTGGGCCTGGGGTTGTTTTTTTCAAAAGGCTGATAAAAATAAATCTTGAAAAGGGTGAGGAAGAGGAGGCACAGTTTGTGCTAGAGAGGTGTCACCCACAGGAATGATGGCTGCAAGTGGCACAAGGACACAGGGCCGGAGCTGTGACTCATGACTTTTCGGCATTCCATCCTGGTGTCGGTATCGCATTTCGAGGATTATATTTTATTCATAAAGATTGCTGTGCTCACAGCCGTGTCCGGCAGAGCCGGCGTGTGGCTGAGCCTGGGGCTGGCAGTGCTGTGCACCACCGGAGGGTCCCAGCTCTGTAACACCTGCTGAAAATTAAATATAATACATAAAACTGGGTGAGGGTCCCCAGGTTCCACCCCATGACCTGGAATGTGGGTGCCCTCACGGCACCCGAGTGCCGGGCCGGGGTTTACAGCACGTGATGGGCTGTTGTTGGTAACCGCAGCCCAAAGGAGCCCGGGTGGAGCACGTGAGGTGGTATTTTTAACTCTGAGGTCCTGGTGACATGGAAAACTGGGTGCCTGGTGCAGGTGCTGCACAGATCGATGGAAAATTTCCCACCACCCATCGACACCTCGGCTTCGCCAACCCCGGGCACTGCAGTGTGTTAGCAAATGGTGCTTCTGCCCCACGAGCCCAGAGCCCGGCCGAAACCTCCACTAGGGAATTAGCTGGGAAGCGCTTCCCTGCAGAGCTGCAGGCGGGAAGGTGGCATGGTGAGATGGAAACAAGGATGGTGCAAACCAGAATTTCCCAGCTGAGAGCCTGATTTAGCATCCTCAAGCAGGAAAAAACCATTTTCAACCCCTTGAGAGGGTAAAGACAGGATGAGCCCGTGGTCCTCACCAGGTTTGATGGCTCCCCAGCACGGTGTTAGCTGGGACTTGGAATTCACCCATCAGTGCAAACATCCCCACACATCTCCCTTGTCCTTCCCCCCATGGGGAGGACCTGTGCCAGGCTGGGAGGTGGCACACGGTGGCATCCCCCCTCCTCCCCGCCGCCCTCCCGCAGCCCTGCGCCCGCCCCGCCGGCTCAGCCGAGACAAGCGGAGGCTAAGAACATCCACTGGGTTTTATTCCTCAGGTATGACAAGTAAAAGCACAAATTCTCTTTGGAAATAAGGAAAAAAAAAATTAAACCAAAACCCCAAACCAACGTTCAAAGCACGCGGACAGTTTGCGTTTCTCAGGACGGAGGCCGTGCCGTCAAGCTCCGCCGCCGGACACGTGTCCCTTGCAGAGATGTAGTTTAAAAACAACAACTCATGGAGAAGGAGAAGACACAGGGCTACAGGTTTCCATGTCAATTTTAGAGGAAAAAAAAAAAAAAAAGGCCCTTTTTTTTGCTATTGTTATAAATATCCCATCCGAGCGACTCGGAGCGAACGATAACCGTAAGGAGGACATCCGTTCTGCTTGGCCCCGTGGGCACAAAAATCTCTACTGGCACCTCAGACTGCTACAAGCCCTCGGGGACAGTGGCCTGGCACCCGGTGTGTGCCCCGGCTCTCAGCTGGCCCCCCCATGGGTGACGGGTGCTGCCATCCCTACGAGCGGCACCCGTCACCCTTGCCGGAGGCTGTCAGGATGCCGCGCCGCAGGGGACCAGGGAGCAGGGATCCAGGGGGAGAGGGGGCAGGGGAGGAGGGGTGCCGGGGCACAGCAGGGCCGAGAGTGGCTGCTCAGGTGCAGGTGGCCTCCTGGCTCTCGACGGGGATCTCGCTGCCGCTGCCGCCCTCGCCGTACTGCTGGTAGGGGGGGATCTGGGGCGCCTCGATGATCAGCAGCCCCTCCGGAGACAGGGAGGCGAACACCGTGATGGGATCCACCTCGTAGGGCAGCCTGCGGGAGGAGGGGAAAGATGGGAGGGGTTAGGAGTGCGAGGCATGCTGCATCCCTGGTGGACACCGACCCTCGGGAAGCTCTCACAGTACCCCCAGTGCGTGGGGAACCACTGATGCCGAGGCACCAGCCCCGGTGTGGGGCTCAGCAAAGCCTCTCTTGTTACTGTAGTGCCTGGGAATGTGTCAGGGATATTTAGAGCGGGTTCCTGGCCGGCCTGTCCCCCGTGGGAGCTCTGTTTAATCTCCCCGGCAGATGTGTTTGACGGGATGTCACCCGCCGCTTGTGCCTCTGCAAAGCAGGAGTAAATCCTGGCCGTGCCGCAGCCCACGTCAGCCGCGAGCCTTGCCCGTAAAAGGAGCCCGAGCGCCGAGCAGGAGGGAGTGCAGCGCTCACCCCAGCCTTCCCGTGGGAGTTTGGGATGCACAGGGCTCCTTCAGGGTGGAAAAGCGATGCTGGACTGCCGCCAGCTGAGGAAACCCTTCCCATGCCTTGGGCTTTTTGCTGCCTCTCCCTGTTAACCCCTGCGCCCGGGGGTCTGCCCCCCACACCGGCTGCCTCTGCAGGGCTCGCCTTTGCCATTGTTGTTGCCAAAGTGAGCCATGGGTGAGTCAACGCGATAGCGATCTGAGTGACATCATGGAGATAAACGGATACAGAGACATCCTCGCACCGGGATGTGCTCGGGGCTGGCGGTGGTGTCAGCCCGCCGTGCCCCGCTGCACCCCGGGGGTTGGCTCCTCGCACCCCTCCTGCTCCCCGCGCCCCAGCCCTCCCCAAACACAGCCCCGGGCGTGGAGGAGACTGACAGAGCACCCCGAAAAAGGCCTCCTCCTCCTCCTTCATCTCCCTTGGGAAGTCACTCTGTGGCCTAAACCAGTCTGGCACGTGCTGCAGAAGGGCAGTTTTTGGGGTGAAGACAGTCCCTGTGAGTGTGAGCTGGGGCGCAGGGACTGGCAAAGCTCAGCCAGGCCAACCGGTACCTACTGGATTTTCTTGGTGAAGTTCTTGGAGACAATCCCTCCTTCCACCTGCTGCTCCTCGTGTTTGCCTGCAGGGAAGGACAACACCCCACATCAGCACCTCACCAGGGGATTATTTTTTCCAAAAGAAACAACAACAACAAAACTCAACAGGAAAGTTTCCCGAGCAGTTGTTTCCCTTCCCATGTGCAAACCCTTCCCCGGAGAAGGCTCAGGGAGCCTTCCCCGTGTGGGGAAGGCGATGTTGGTCAGAGCACAGCCATGTTTCCAGTGAGAAAATGGAGCCTCACAGGCTGCCAAGAGCTGAGGCTTAAGAAAATAAAAATAAATAAATAATAAAACCTTTGGAGGTGGCAGCCTCCTCCCCTGCTCCCACTCCCCAGGCTGGTCTCCTTTCCACCATGCTGTCAGGATGGGGGTCCCTATGCCTGGAGCATCAGCCAGTGCCTGCCTGGACCCTCCTGACCTGGAGTTTCCCTCTGTGATGCCGTGAACCCCAAATAAATACCTGGGGCTGTGCTGGGCAGCAGCCCCCAACACTCCCTGGTGACCCCGGCCCAGGGGCATGGGGGGCAGTGGAGGATGTCAGTGCCGGGCTGATGGGATGCTGAGGGTACCCCTTGAGGACCCCACTTTTGGTGAACCCCACACCTGCTGTCCCCACCATTAACTGGCTTCCCAGGGATGCGCTTCTGGCCTGCTCAGATCCAGGCTGGGCCTCTGGAGCTGTGGAGCAGCTGCTCCCTTCTTCCCAGCCTCTCCCTCGGCCCCTTTAAAGGGAATCTCCCTCCGTGCCGGCCTCACCCCGGCTATAATTAACCCAGCCAGGCTGGGGCCCCTCTTGGCCGCT